CAGCCACTGCGGAGCCTGTGGGCACACAACAGGGCTGGCACAGAGGGAGGCGGTCTTCCTGGTCCTGTGGCTTAGGGAGATGCTGCCAGGCACTGGCAGGAGGATGGAGGAAGCCATGGGACCAAGGTGGCCCCAAAGGCCCTCCCTCCTGCCAGAAAAAACAGGAAGTCCCGCCCCAGAGGACATCTAAAGGCTCCTGGTTCCAGGATACTGCGCAGCTAGCCCTGAGCCTCCTGTCTGCTAAATGAGCTGGGGAGCGTTGGGGCTCCCAGCACGCTGTGCCCCTGAGTGTCACAGGCACCGGCCCCGGGCTCCGGGCATGGCACCCCTCCCTCTCCTACCCACGCCAGCTGGCCGACCACACTACCACGCGCCTGCGTCAGACCAGCCACACAGTGCCCTCCTCTGGCAAGTGCATTCCAAGCCTGTTTACACGGACCACAGGCGGAGGCTGGCCTGCTCATCTGGCCACCTCTGTAGCAAGGGAGCCCAGAGGATTGTGTGAGTATCACCAGGGGCTGAGTGGGCAGCAGGCAGTGTCCAGATGCTTGTTACATGCTGACCAGCTGGCCTGCCCCCCCCATCCTCTGGAGACCCCTTGTAGCCCTTTGGCTCCTGGGCACCCTGGCAGGCCCCCTTCGGCTCTATTTTTAGTCCAGAAACATCCGCCATGTCTATTTATACCATCCCTGATCTTGAGTTTCTGGGTGTCTCCTGACTTGAGCTTCAGTCTGGCCTCTTCGGGTTCTCAGTGGTACCCATCAGGACAGGAGGCTGCAGCTCATCTGAGAGCGAGCACAGAGGAAAAGGATGGAAATGCAAGAGACCCACACCACTGGCCCAGCTCTGGGGCTGGGCAGTCCAAACAGGTGGAGATGACCTTGGAGAACCTCCAGTCCTTCCAGTTAATTAAATTAACCCTTATCTCCCACTCCCTGCAATGAGAGCAGAGTGTCTTGTACCAGAGGCTGGCATCAGAGTTAGGGACTGTCCCTGCCCTACATGCTCTGAGGGCCAGAAGCTGCCCCAGCCCGTGTCACATACCACCAGAGGTAGAGAAGGACCAAGGGACACCGCCAAGAGAGATCTGAGATTTCTACAAAACTGAGCGGGAGCCTGACAAAGCTAGCCCTGAAGGTACTATCCACCCCTACGACCACAAAATCGGCTGACTTCCATGCAGGCCTGCCCACAGGTCTGGGAACCTGTCTTCTCAGCTGTCTCCCTAGATACAGCCATAAGGACCCTCAGCTGACTCCCATAGAAAGGAGCAGGAGAGACGCCCTTGCCCACGGCCCGTAAGACAGAACGGCAGCACCTGGCCTCCTCCTTACCAAGTTGGGAGGCTGCCTCCTGTCCCTTGGAAAACCATACCTGCTCCTGTCTCTCCACCTCACGACATCTGACTACAGACAATAGGGAAGAACTCTTGTCTGATTTTTTTTTAATTTTTTTTTTTGTTGGTCATGGGTCTTGAACTCTGGGTCTGGGCGCTGTCTCTTTAGCTCAAGGGGAGCGCTCTACCACTTGAGCCACAGCACCACTTCCAGTTTTCTAGTGATTTATTGGAGATAAGAGTCTCAGAGACTTTCCTACCCAGCTGGCTTTGAATTGTGATCCTCAGATCTCAGCATCCTAAATAGCTAGGATTTACAGGTGTGAGCCATGGGTGCCTGGCTTGATGTTTTTAATTAAAAAAAAAAAAAAAGCAGCCAAGTGCTGGTGGTTCAGGCCTATAATCCTAGCTTCTCTGGAGGCTGAGATCTGGGGATTGAAGTTTGAAGCCAGCCAAAGCAGAAAAAAAAAAATCCCCAAGTCTCTTATCTCTAAGAGTCAACAAAAAGCTGAAAGTGGAACTGTGGCTCAAGTGGTAGAGAGGCATCCTTGAATGAAAAAGCTAAGGGACAGCACCCAGGCCCTGAGTTCAAGACCCAGTATCAGAAAAGAGAAAAAGAGGTGATGGAGTGATGGGAATTGCCTGGCCACGCGTCTCAGCTTGAGAGACCCCAGGGTGAGGACAACCGGCTTTCCTTTTCTTTCTGCCCTCTGGCCATTCCATCTCCACTCTGGACCTGCCTTAGGTAAGAGGTTATAAAAGAAGTTAAAAACTAAACCACTTCTCAGGGTCCCGGGGTCTCCCTGCCATCCTCTTACCGCTCTGACCTCGGGCTTCTGCTGCTGGGTCTCTGGGAGGGTAGATTCCTCGGAGGCAATCTCCTAGGGTTGGCAAATTGAAACAGTAGTCCTGACAGGCACTGGTGGTTCACACCTGCAATCCTAGCTACTCAGTGGCTGAGATCAGAGGATCACCAGTTGAAGCCAACCGAGGCAGGAAAGTCTGTGAGACTCTTATCTCCAATTAAGCACCAAAAAGCCAGAAGTGGAGCTGTAGCTCTAGTGGTAGAGTGCTATCCTTAAACACAAATGTTCAGGGACAGCACCCAGGCCCTGAGTTCAAGTCTCATACACACAGACACAGCCACAGACAAACACACACATACACACACACACACACACACACACACACACACACACACACACACAAATTGAAACAGCAGTTCATCCTGTGCTGTAAATTTAGCCTCAGGAAAGGATGACATTATAACACAAGCTTCCAGATGCCAATGTCATGGACTGGCTGACTTCACTTGTTTACGTGTATATTTCTTTCTGGTCTTCCCAACTGCCACCAAGAGCAGGGATTTGAGCCTGTTTTGTTTTTCGTTTGTTTTGTCAGTTGTGGTACTTGAACTCAGGGCCTAGGCACTGTCCCTGAGCTGCTTTGTGCTCAAGGCTAGCACTCTACCACTTGAGCCACAGTGCCACTTGCAGCTTTTGAGTGGTTACTTGGAGATAAGAGTTTTCTGCTTAGTCTGGCTTCAAACCAAGATCCTCAGATCCTAGCCACCTGAGTAGCTGGGATAATAGGCATGAGCTATTGGGTCTGTTCTGTCCACAGCACCAGGCAGACATCGGTGACTCATGCCTATAATCTCGGCTACTCAGGAAACTGAGATCTGAGGAACTTGGTTTGAAACTAGGCAGGGGCTAAAAGTAAGGTGAGCTGTGGCTCAAGTGGTAGAATGCCAGCCTTGAGTGAAAAAGCTAAGGAGGGAAGGAGGTCCTTAGTTCAGGCTCTAATCGACACACACACACACACACACACACACACACACACACACACACACATATACACACACACACACATGCACGAAAGGAAAAAGAAATTAAAACAGGCTGTCCTGTCTTCCAAGTAATTGTCATCAAGTATATATATTTTTTCTTTTTTTGCTTATGTGGTGCTGAGGAATCGAACCCAGGGCCTCAGGCATGCAAGGCAAGCGCTCTACCACTGAGCCACCTTCCCAGTCCCCTCTTTCTTTCTTTTTTGTCGGTCACGGTCTTGAACTCTGGGCCTGGGCGCTGTCCCTCAGCTCTTCAGCTCAAGTATAGCTAGTGCTATACTTGAGCTGTGGCATTACTTCCAGTTTTCTGGTGGTTCATTGGAGATAAGAGTCTCACAGGCTTTCCTGCCTGAACTGGCTTTGAATTGCGATCCTCAGATCTTATTCTCCTGAGTAGCCAGGATGACTGGTGTGAGCCACAGCGCCTGCATACTTGTGACCATTCTTGGTTTTCATCTCCCAGTCCCCACCCACAGGGTATGGTACCCCCAGAGCCCTCCAGGGACCCTGGGACAACTTGACGTTCATGTGGAAGTCACTGGATGTAGTTGTTAGTGAAAAACCACAAGAGAGAGAGGAGGAGGCCCCCAGCCATCTCCTGCCCACTTGGCACTGGGCTTCTCCCAGGCCCTCTACAGCTGGGCCCTCACATGTACCTGCTGCACAAGTGTCAGCTGGCTCAGAGGCTGGCGAGGTGTTTGTTCAAAGCCAGGCCTCCAGACCCCTAGCTCAGGGCCCCCCAGCCACAGCACGAGCACTGGACTAGGAGTCAGCAGCCCTGGATTTGGGTCTCTTCTGAATGAATGTACGCATCCCATAATGCCTGTGACATAGGTTAGGGTCCCCGAAGGCTTCCCTGACTCCAAATGCACCCACCTTTCAGTGAGCCCCTCCTCCCAGAAGCGATCCTCAACTTCAGAAACCCGCAGGCAGGCATTACAAAGCGGCCATCAAGGAGGCTGGGCCGACCTCGGGCCGGACACTGGCCGAGAAAGTGCGTGGCCTGGCAGGTGCGGGGAAGGTCTGGTGAGGAGGGACCCCTGCCAGGGAGGACGGAAGGGGCGCAGGGACGCGTCACCCCTGGCGCTCCCTCCAGCTGCCCCGCGGTGACCTCTCCATCTCTGGCCAGCCCGAGGCCGAAGATGGGACCTGGCCGCCGGGACCCCCACCCCAAGCGCGGCCCTGGAACCTGCCCGCTCCAACCCCCCGCGGCTCCCGCACAACCCAAGTCCGAGGGGAGATGCGGATGCCGAGGCCGGGCGCGCGCGGTTCCCACCCCGCAGGCTCCCGCGCACCCGCCCAGGGGACCCGAAGCCCGGGCGAGGACAGCGCGGCCCCGCACAGCCCGCGGGCCACCCGGAGGACGCTGAGGTCACGTCCGACCCCAAGCTCGGGCTCAGGACCCAGGCCAGCTCCCCGCACTCGGGGTGCTCCCGGGCCCACGTCAGCCGCTGGCACCCCCCGACCCCGCCAAGCCCTACCAGTCCGCTGCGGGGCGCAGCGCGGCCCCTCTTTTCGACGCGGTGCGGGCGGGCGCGAGAAGCACAGTCTTTGTCTGCGGCTCCCCGCGCCCCCTCCCCCGCCCCGACCCCCCGCCCGCCACGTCCCCCGCCCCGCCCCGCCCCGTCGGCGCGCTCAGCCAATGGGAGGCGGCGAGGGCGGTGCCGCGACCGGGGTGTTGTCCGCGCCTCGGACGCCCATTGGCTGCGGGCTGGGTCCCCCCGGGCTGCAGCCGGGCGTGGGGGGGCGCGCAGCTCGCGGAGACCGACGCCGGCTAGGAGCGGGCGGGCGGGCGGGAGAAGTGGGCGAGCGCGGGCGGACCGGTCTCCACTGAGCCGCCGCCCCCTGACCCCGGCTACCCCGGCTCTGCACCAGGAGGCGGCGGGCCAGGCCGAGCGCCCGGGCTGCCCGCCGTGGACCCCGACGGTAACCTGCGGGCCGGGGTCCGGAGGAGGAAGGAGGAAGGTGGCCTCGCGGGGTCCGGCCATGGCGCTCGACTTCCTGGCTGGATGCGCTGGGGGTAAGGAGGCGCGGGGCCCGGGATGCGGGCGAGCCCCGCCGAGGTCTGCGGGCGGAGTTCGGGGACTCCCGTGCTCGGGTCCCGGCGGGCTCGTGGGCGCCGGTGGACGCCTGCGGGCCGGAGGGGGCCGGCGCCCTGCGCCCGCGCACCTGTCACTGCCACCCCCGGGGCACGCGGGGGGGGGGTGACCGTGACCCCGGGCAGCGGCGTGGCCCGGCGGAGGCCCGGCCGCCCCGAGGATGCCCGCGCAGCTCCCGCCCGGCGCGCCGATCCCCAGCCCGGGCTCCCATCGGGAGCACTGCGCCTCGGAGTCCTGGGCTGGCAACCACCCCCCGCCCGCCCGTGCCCCCGACACCCATCGGACTCGGGATCGTGGGGGGCCGGGGAGCCGTGGGGGGCTGACTTCACTCCCCGCGGCTGTCCGGGCGGGGCGGGAGCCACGCGGCCACTTGTAGCCGGCCGGCTGCTCACCCCTGCCCGGGTCACGCCGTGGCACCTCACCCGCTTCCTTCCCGCTCCCTCCGCGGACCTGCCGTGGGCAGGGCGTGAGGATGGACGTGGGCAAACCCAGGGGGCCTGCGTGGGCCTGACCCCGCCGTGGATGCCGCCCCCTGGGCCCTCGCTGTCTGCGTTTACCTTGCTGGGGTCAGGGTGCTCGACAGGTGTTGATGGAGCCGGGGGGTGGGGGGGGGTGCTGAGGTGTCAGGAGGGCCCGGCCTCGCCTCCCTGGCAGTGTGAGGCTGGCTGGTTACCTCAAGGGTCCAGTCTTGGTTCTCTGCTCCACCACCCTTGCCCTGCTCTTCATCTGCTTGTGTGTGACTCCCACAGACCTCAGGAAAGGGAGCTGGGGCTCAGGTGCCAGACTTGAGCAAAAGAGCCAAGGGGCAGCGCCCCAGGCTCTGAGTTCAAGCCTCAGGACTGGCACAGACCTCGGTGGCTGCCCAGGGAGCGGGTTCTACTGGAAGAGCGAGGCACACGGGCCATGACTCTAGGCAGTTAATCAGTGCTGGCTTCCTCCTGTGTCCGGAGGCTGGTTGGACACCATGACTGGCTGGCTTAAGGCTGTCAAAGGCAGTTAAGAACTCCCCAGTCTGCTACCCGGTCAGGACTCTGGGAGGTTCAGGAGGGAAACTCAGAGCTTTCTGTAAGTTGGTGGGGGCTTCTTCCCAAGCCTCGGGCAACCCGGAGGACGCAGGATATGGTGTGGCCTCTGCAGTCTCCTCTAGCCCCTGTCCCACCCAAGCTGGGCTCCTAACCCTTCTCGGCCTATGTGCTGGAAGCAGGGTGCAGGGTGGGGACTGTCCAGTGGACCATGCCTCCTGGGGAATCTCCTGGGCTATGCGGCTTCTTTCCCCCAGGGCCGGACCCTTCTATAATTCCACTGTCAGTGTGAGTGAGGGAGCACACTCACCCAGGCCAGGCCTCTCAGAGACCCAGACCAGACCCCACGCAGGTGTTCAGTGGTTGGGCAGCCCCTCCCCCCTACCTGGAATGCCCTTTGGTTCATCCTCACAATGCCTACCTGGGGCAGGTTACATGCCTGCCTCAGGCTCCAGGGTGGAGAATGAGACCAGGATGGCCCTCAGGTGCTCGTCTGTGCATCCCCTACACACTGAGGCTGTGCAGGGCAGGGCCTCCGCACCTGGGTGAATGAGGGTAGAAGTCACTTTGGGATCCAATGGGGAGAAAAGTCCGAAGACTGCAGTGACCACTCAGGTAGCCCTGTTCAGAGGGACTGTCCAGGGCCGGGTGACACATATACTTTGCAGGGATCTGACCCCCAGAGGCCACGACCTGGACCCTTCTGGTGGCTGCTGGTAGCATTTCTCCTCTGTGGCTCCTGATTCATATTCCTCAGGAAGAGATTGACCCAGGGATGTCCCATGGCTGACTGGCCTGCTGTGTGTCCTGGGTTTACCTGTCTGTGAAGCAGGCCAGGTGCTATGACTAGAAGGTTGTCAGCTTCCAGGGGTCTTGCCTGATGGAAGGGTGGCTTCCGCCCTGTGGCCCACTCTGGGGAAAATAGTGTCAAATCTTGAAGCCACAGTAGACCCCGGGCTCTGGATGGGGTATGGATAGGAAAAGAGCTGAGGAAACATTCCCTCACAGAACAGCATCTGCCTCTGAAGGATGCAGGATAGTAGAGATGCAGGATAGTAGGGTGTGCTGATAGTGGGAGCCAGAGGACCTATTTCCTGAGGTCAAACCTGGGATCCACCCCTGTTGCTCAAGACCCAACCCTGGGCTGGCTCCAGCCATCTGCAGGCACGAAGTTTGCATCACAGCATCTAGATCAAGGATAAGATCTCCCCAGAGGCAAACCTTCTCAGGTGGCAAGCAGGCAGTGATGTGCATGGCTGTCCTCTTTTCAGGAAAACCTCTCGTTAAAGCTTCCTGTTTATACAGTGCATCCCATTAATATTATTATAACAGAATACAGTGTAGGAATGGGCATGCATCACAACCTGATACAACTGTCTATTACCAAGGGACCCTCAACCCTAATCAGCCTTAAATCATCCCAGACACCATTTCTCAGGGCTCTGGAGCTCTCTTGCTTAAGGCCCACTCACACACTACTGGGTGTATTTTTACTTTGCTCTTGCTCTAATAAAGCTGCTTGCTTCCCTCATAATTCAGGTGCTTCTGCTCACCTTTTTGGTGGGGAGCCAGTAGCAGGGTTTGAACTCAGGGCCTCACACCGGTTTGGCTTGCTGGCTCAGCTGGCGCTCTGCCACTCCAGCTATACCTCCAGCACCGCTTTGTACTAGTTATTTTGGAGATGGAGTCTCAAAAGCTTTTCTGCTCAGTCTGGCTCTGAACCTAGATCTTCTGGATCGCAGCCTACTTCCTGAATAGCTAGGATTATAAACATGAGCCCAACAGTGCCCAGCATTTTCACTCAACTATTTGTTTGAAACACCAAGAATCTGGAATGATCTTGAATGAGACGTCCGTCCGTCCGGTAATGGGATGGCAGGTCTGTCATCCTGCTGCCACTGCCTGTGACCACCTGTGCTGCTAGGAGCCTCCAGAGCAAAGCTCCTTTCCTAACCTGGGAAGGTTGTGGAGTGAGGACTGCCCTTCAGTGGGCAGAGACTTCTGTAGGCCTCAGACTCCTCTTGGGAGACAGTGAGGTAGGGCTCCTGGTTCTCAGAGGGTCTGGGAGGGTAAAGGCTCTGCGGGAGTAGAGGCTAGATGAAGGCAGGACCTTCGCCCACTCTGTTCCCATGACAGGAGGATTCTGGGTAAGAGTTTACCCTCCTCCCTTCCTTGTCTCCACCCAAGGAAACAGGTGAGGGAGAAAGTGGGACTGCCAAGGCTAGCACCTGGAATCCGTGTGTGGACTGGGGCTTGGGTAGGGAGCTTTCTCTCTCCTTCGTCACATCCCCCGGTCCAAAAGGTGACACTTGGACAAAGCAGGGCCCAAGGGTGACTGCTACCCATAGGATGGGAATCCTGTAGTTGGGCAGGAGGTCTGGTTACTGGCTTTCCAAACCCCAAGGAATCCCAAATACAACCCAAGAAAAGAGGTGCTGAAACTAGGATTTGCTAAGTCAGGAAATGCAGGAAATGGGCTGGGTTGTAACTCAGAGGTAGAAGAATTGCTTAGCATGTGTGCAGTCCTGGGTTCAACCCCCTTCACCCAACAGAAACCTGGAAGATTCAAGATGTGAGGGAGAACCAGGGAGGATCAAAGGGAAGAAGCAAAGTTTCCTTGGGAAAGGACCAGAAACCCAGATGGACACCAGGAGGGAAAGAAGCTTGCTAGAATGAGGCGTTAGCCTTGGGCATAGAAGCTGAGGGACAGTGCTCAGGCCCTGAGTTCAAAATTAAGGGAAATGGACAAAACTCAGGCTGGGCGTGGGGGTACAAACCTGTGATCCAGTTCCTTGGGAGGTGGAGGCCGGGGGACTGAGGTCCAGGGCTAGCTCAGGCAAAAGCATAAGACTCCGAGAACCTAAAAATGAAAGGGCTGGGGGTATGGCTCTAAAATCCCAGTACTCCCCTCAAAAAAAAAAAAAAGTTGGCCAGAACTCTCTGAGGCACGTGTGACAGGAAAGCAGGGCCACAAAGGCAATGCCAAGGGGCTGGGAAGGTGGCTCAGTGGCAGAGCGCCTGCCTTGCATGCATGAAGCCCTGGGTTCGATTCCTCAGCACCACATACACAGAAAAAGCCAGAAGTGGTGCTATGGCTCAAGTGGTAGAGTGATAGCCTTGAGCACAGAGAGACCCAGGGACAGAGCCCAGGCCCCAAGTTCAAGCCCTAGGACCGGCAAACAAACAAAAACAAAAAAGGCAATGCCAAAGTCTGTGTTAGGGGTGGAAGCATTCATTCTGTGGTACAGATGCATGGTGCCCCCATTATCCTGAGGACCCAACTAATCCACAGAGAGATGTGTCTAGGGGGGCCCAGGGCAGAGGCGCCAGGCTCAGACTGCAGCTTCAGCCCTCACTTCCTGTAATCATTCTCTTTGTCTCCATTTCCCCATGGGTAAAGTGAGCTAATAATCCTTTATCAGGAATGTAAGTGGGAGGAACAGGGTATGTTCAAAACTAAGAAGTAACCATCAGATTGCAATATGACTGGTTGCATTCAAATGTTAGCCATTTTCATTGTAAATAAGCACAAGCAATAAGAGAATAGTTGGGGTTTTGGGGGAGTAGTTGTTCTTCAATGTTCAAGATCATGCATGCTGGGCAGGCATTCCACCAGGATGAGCCACATCCCCAGCCCCAAGGGAGACCTTTAATAGAGTCACACATGGAGTTCTGAGTGGGATCACCCTGAGGGAGCACCAGTGACTTGACCTCCATGAGCCTCAGTTTCTCCTTCCATGAAAGGAGTGGTAAGGCTGGGCAGTGGTGAAATTCACACCTATAATCCCAGTACTCAGGAGGCCGGGAGGCCGGTCAGGGCTACAAAGGGAGACCCCAGCTCAAAAACACAAACCCCAGAGGCTCGGGGTTTACTATCTGTAAGACACAGGGGAACGGAATGAAAAGTGTTTGGGAGGGATGAATCTTTGTCTCTAAGGGGGTCTGGATCTCTGGCAGGCTCTGAGCTGATGAGTAACCAGACCGATTGCGAAGCCCCAGGCTGCCTCCCAGGGGCCGGGAAGGCCCTGCCAGGGAAGGCAGCCGTCAGGAGGCTGGACTTCATCTCATCTCCAGGGCTGCCCAGGGGAGGCACGTCCTCACCCCCATCACAGGCAACGGAGGTGGGGATAAGTAGAGGGGACATTCCAATCTCAGTATCAGGCTCACCCCCTTCCCACACACACCCCACCAGGGGTGTTTAAAGAAATAGAACATGCCAGAAATGCCCCATCCCCTGCAGCTGGCTGCAGGGCCAGAGACCCAGCGTGGTTACCAGATGGAGGGTTACAGGAGTTCCTGGGAGGGACGTGGCCAGGACCCCGCTGGTCCCTGGTCAGTGTCTCCCTCCCAGCCTCCCTGGCAGGAGCCCCAGCACCCTGTAGGGCTCCAAGGCGTCTTTCAGATCACACCTCTCCTTGTCTCCCTGCAGGTGTGGCAGGTGTGCTTGTGGGACACCCATTTGACACTGTCAAGGTGAGTTTCCTCCATGTTTTCTTTCTCAGACTGTTACATAGGTGCACAGATGGGCGGCAGACCTGCAGGACTTTTATTCCAGAGCCAGGTTCAAGGTCATCCCCAGGTCTTTGAGGGTAGAATGAGAGCTCTCCAAGATGCCCAGGTGGGCAGCTGCTTTTCCATTTAACTCAGTTGACCTTCCTGCTGGGCTTGTTTTTATAGCTCCTGGCTGGGGCAAAACTAGATGTTGAGTTCACACCCAAGTTCATTCTCAGGACTGGCCTGTGAAGACTGACATGCTCACTCACGCTGTTCTGCTACAGAAAGAAAGACTTGGGGGTCGGGAGGTAGGGGAAAAAAGCAAACTTGATCAGCCAGTGTGATGGTACATGCCTACAGTCTCAGCATCCAAGAGGATTAAATGTTGGAGGCCAGTCAGGGTTACATCTCAAAATCAAACAAACAAGCAAACAACAACAAAAGCCAGGCATGCCTGTAATCCTAGCAACTCAGGAGGCTGAAATGTGAGGATTACTGTTTGAAGCCAGCCACAGCAGAAAAGTCCATGAGACTCTTCTCCCCCAGTTAATCACAAAAAGCTGAAAATGAAGGTGTGACTCAAGTGGTAGAGCACCAGCCTTGGAGAGAATGAGGACTTGAGTTCAGGGCCCAATATCAGCACACACACACACACACACACACACACACACACACACACACATACACACACCACACACACTAACAAGTCCACTTTTTCTAGCATGATCTTCCTAGAGCAGTAACTCAGGATTAGGAGATGGTGACTGTTTTGAAGTGTCTGTAGCCAGGGACCTAAGAACAGCTCTGTCACAGGGGCTTGAGATCAATGCTCAGTCAGTTTGTCATTACATCTGTCTATTAACCAGAGTTCCAGGTTCTTAGACACCCAGAGCAGAGAGCACGGAGACCCTGGTCCTCCGATGGGAAGTCCCACGCTACTTTTCTCCTGTGGCTGGACCTGACATGCTCAGAGTGTGCACGTCACAACCATTCCTTGCCATGTTCCTAAGATGAGCATGGGCTATGGGCCAGGCCTTCCGTACTGGCTATAAACCTTGAACTTGGCTCCCTTGCCCGCTTGGGTGAAGACTGTGCTAGAGGGAGACACGTCATCCCCAGCTGGGTTGAGGTGAACTTCCTCTCTCCTCTCCTCCAACCCCTCAGTGGACCAGGTGTTTGTTGGCAAAGAAAATCGCTTGTTAATTTAGGGCTGGGATTTCTTCCAGCACGGGCGTGAGAGCCAGGCCTTATGCACCGGCTTTGACCTTAAAAAATTCTGTTCCTAGTCCAGACCTGCTCTGCCGGCCAGTTTTACTGCCTGACCTTGCTGGGACCAGATACTGTGGCTTGGCCCCAGCGTTCTCGTCTGGAAGGGAGGGGCTGGGGGAGATTACGAAGGCCTAGGATAACGTGTGATCAATTCATATGAGCTCTGGAATGCACACATCTCCACCACTCACAGCAGGCAGGCCTGGGGAGAAAGAAGGCTGAAGGCCAGGCTTTCTTGATAAGCTTTGGGCCTGCAAGAGGCAGGCCCTGGCAATGCTGGCCAAGGAGCCAACTGGTCACACCCATGCTCTGCCTGGCTACGGCCCCCCCCGGCACACCCATGCTCGGCCTGGCCACACCCCCACTCACTCCCCCCCCCCCAGCACAGGGCAGCCTGGCAGCACCCATACCACACTGTTTCTATGTCATGGTCATCTATGTCCAGGGCCTCGCCACTGTGTCCAGGCAAGAGCCCAGAACTCCCTCCGTCTGCCCAGCTCTGCAGAGGCTGGCTCTCCTGGTCAGGCCTCTGGGTTCCCCATCTGGCACCCACAGGATTGCAAGTGCTCGTGGCTGCATGCTACAGTTATTCAAGTGTCCGACACCCTTGGGAAAACCCTTTAATGCTTTTTCCCCCCTTTTTACCACCAGAGCATTGTATCTGGGCAAATCTACCTTAAGAAGCTAAGGTCTTTTTGAAGGGGGGAGACCCCTGGCTCTTGTGTTCCTACCTGCTGTCCCCAGTGTGATGCTGGATCCCTCATACTGCAATGCAATGCAGCATCACCAGTGGCCCAGCTGTTTTTACTGCTTTCTGTCAAAGACCTTATCTTTAAGCATCCCCATCCCTCCCCTCCCCGAGAGCACTACATGGGCTTCAGGCCCTGAGACCATGAGACACCATTGTTTTGTTTTGAGTGATTTAACTTGATATGTAGCCCAGGTTGGCCTTGAACTCAAGAATCTGACACATCTGCCTCCTGAGTGCTGGGATTATAGGAGTGTGCCCCAAACTTGAGTGTAATATCTTCTGAATGGATTGTGATCATCAGGTACACACACATTTCTTTATTGGCTTTCTCTTACAAAAATTATACAGGTTCTAAGAGAAGAGCCATCCCTGAGATGCACAAACTAAAAAGTCAACCTCTGTGTAGCTCTCCCTTGTGTGTGACACACAGCAGGGCACTAAGCTTTACACACTCCTTGCTTTGGATAGGAGAGGGGTATTCATATTCTGCAGGTGTAGGTGTGTGTGTGTGTGTGGTTTTACAATGATGTTCAGGTTTTTCCCTATCTGAATGGGTGATATTGTTTGTTTGTTTGTTTTGCTGTGGTGCTAAAGATCAAACCCAGAGCCTTGTGCATGCTAGGCAAACTTTCTACCTCTGAGGCATGTCACAGCCTTGTTTTATTTAAGTTGATGTTTAACACATACAGCGAGCGCACACATCCTAAGCCAGGCCTGGAATGTGCCTGCAAACCCAAAACTCAGAGCAGATGTAGGAGCATCAAGAGCTCAGTCAGTCTGCACTCTGCAGTCATTCCCTCATGTCCAAAAACAAACCAGAAAAATCAGTTAGGTGCTGTGGTTCATGCCTACAATACCAGCTATGTGGAAGGTGTAGGTAGGAGGGTTGAGGCTAGCCCCAGTCAAAGGGGCCAGACCCTGTGTAAAACAAAAAGATGTAAGCCAGGCGCTGGTGGCTCAGGCCTGTAATCCTAGCTACTCAGGAAGCTGAGATCCAAGAATCATGGTTCAAAGCCAGCCTGGACAAGAAAGTCTGTGAGACTCTTATCTCCAATCAACCACCAGAAAACCAGAAGTGGCGCTGTGGCTCAAGTGGTAGAGCGCTTGCCTTGAGCTGAAGAGCTGAAGGGACACAGCCCAGGCCCAGAGTTCAAGCCCCAGGACCGACAACAACCCCTGCAAAAACACAAAAAGATTGGTGGCATGAATAGTAGAGTACTCACCTAGTAAGCACAAGGCCTGGAGTTCAGAACTCCAATACCACAAAAAAAAAGCAATTAAGCAATTAAACAAAACAAGAATACACATCTGGTGTGCACGTGACACCTGTTACCCGTCTGTGACCTCACCCCACCTTGCAGGAAGCACAACACGCATACACCACACTCCTCCCCCGTCCTGACTCCTGACCGTGAGTCCTCCCGTTAGAACGCCGCTGTTACCAGGGCCTCCTCCACGTGGGGGTCGCCCGCCCCATGGCCTGCAGGCTTTCCTGTGGTTGGGGGCCCTGGCGGGCATCCCCTTCTAAGCCCCTGAAGAATACCAAATCTGGTTTTCCTCCCACAAGACTCACAGCTGTTTCAGGGCCCCACCCCCTTCCCATCCATTGGTTTAGGGAGGTGTTCTTCCTGATCTTTTCACTGGACGTGACATGGTGGCCCACGTCCCAGGGTGCCCAGGGTGGGGGGCCGACCACGGGCTGGGCACCTGCATGTGATGTTGACATTTGTGTGTTCTTTAACGCTTTGCTGTCTGAGCTAGGCGCTACCGTCAGTAGCAAAGTGCAACTTTGTTGCAGATGCCCGGAAGCCTCACCTGGGAGCGCTAGTGAGTACAGACCAGGTGCCCTCCGCCTGGTCCTCGCCCGCACCCCACTTCCAGAGTTCCAGGGAGGGCACGAGGCCAACGGGGCTTCACAGGTCCTGGGCTGGGGGCTCGGGCAGGGCTGGTGGAGAAACACTGGCCCCTGTGGAGCTTGGGGAGGGAGGGTCCTTGTGTGGGTGTCTCTTAGCTTTGTGTGCAAGTAACTACTTTGAGGGAGGAGGGAAGTTTATCCATTCCCTAGAGGAGCCTCGGTAACCCCCAAATGTCAAGAGCCTCGATGCTAGGCGATACAGAACTGTTACCCCAAGATCTATGACACGAGGGCTCCCACATTCCGGGACTCAGGCACAGAGCAGGGGCTGGAAGGAGTCCTACAGAGCTCAGCCCAAGCCCAAGCCTCATGTCCATGCTGGCTTGACCTTGGCCCTCGGCTGTGACCTGCAGGGACTTCCACAGCAGCCAGGTGCCACCGGAACCTGACAGGAGAGACAGCACCACCTGGCATCAGGCCAGGGGTGGAGGCTCAGGGTCCCGCCAGAGGCCTCGGGACACTGGAAGAAACCTCACATCATAGCATCTCACTAAAGCTGGGGGGTTTTGCTTTTCTCCTCTGGAAATCCTTCCCTCCCCATCAAGTCTGGACAGAGCTGGGTGGCCAGGGTGGGCGAGGGGCTGGGGGGGGGGGAAGGTCACCCCCAAGTCCCTGTGGGAAGAGATGGAATTTCCTCCCCCCCTAATACTTTCCCCCAATAGGAGCTCCACCCATTCTGGTGTTAAGAATTGCAAAAGGAGCTAGGTGCTGTGGCTCATGCCTGTAATCCTAGCTGCTCAGAGGCTGAGTAGCAGTTGGAAGCCAACTGGGCAGGAAAGTCTGTGAGGCTCTTATCTCCAATGAACCACCAAATGGCTGGAAGTAGAGCTGTGGCTCAAGTGGTAGAGCGCTAACCTTGAGTGGAAAAGCTGAGGATCGTGTCCACACCTTGAGTTCAAGCTATTGCCAGTGGGGGCACTTGCCTGTTAGTACTTCACTTAGCCCTCACCTCCACCACAGCCACTCTGGCCCAGGAGAGGACCGCACGGGCCATGTCACACAGCAACTCTGAGCCTCCGCTTTCCCACCTGGGCCGGGAGGAGGAGTGCCAGGCCCTGTCTGGGTCCCTTGCACACGGGTACAGAGGCGCTTGCCCCAGGCCCTGCCTGGCTGCCACAATGCTCATTTCAGAGCCAGCGTGGAACCAGAGCCCCAGAATGATCTGACCTAGATTCCCACCAGTGACACCGAGCCTGTGCTCAGGAAACCTCCCTCCCGCCGGGCATCGTGTCCAGCCCCGGGTAGCAAAGCAGAGATAAGCTCTCCTCAACAGCGAGCACTTTGACCGTGCAAGGCTTTGGGCCTGGCCAGTGTCCCCAGGCCCCGGAGAGCCTGGCCTGGGTCCTCACCAGGAACTCCTGGCAGGAAGCAAGGCATTCCTGCAGACACCACTGCCCTACTTCCAGCCTTGATGAGGAAGGTCAGTGAGGGGGGAGATACCAGGCCCCGGTAGCCTCAGCCATGGTTTGGGACTTTGGCCACTCAGTGGGATAAGTGTCACCTGAAGGACAGGTTGGCCACATGAGATGCGTGGTGGGTAACAAAGGCTTCACCTCCATCGGTCTTGAGATCATTTTGCCCACTAACACCGGGCTTGGCCCCGCCTTCCCCAAAGCCACGCCCCCGCCCCAGGCCTCCTCAGTTGCCCCTGGGCAGTGTGTGCCAGGCCAGGGAAGTGTGGTCCTGCTGGCCACAGCTCACGGGGCCTGCCCTTACAGGTGCGGCTGCAGGTGCAGAGCGCGGAGCAGCCCCAGTACAGAGGGACCCTGCATTGCTTCCAGACCATCATCAAGCAGGAGAGTGTGAGTGGCCTGGGGCGAATGGGACTCTGCCAGTCAACCCCAATGCAGGACGAGAAGGTCCTGGGGCATCTGACAGGAATCCGGGCTTTGGAAGGGTGAGGGATGTCTGGGCCTCTCAGATAGAGGACGTTTGTTGTATCTAATCATGCCTGTAATCCCAGCTACTCAGGAGGCTGAGATCTGAGGATCACAATAGGAAGCCAGCCCAGGCAGGAAAGTCCATGAGACTCTTATCTCCTGTGAACCACTAAAAAGCTGCAAGTGGAGCTGTGGCTCAAGTGATAGAGCACCAGACAGGAGTGAAAAAGCTCAGGGACAGCATTCAGGCCCTGAGTTCAAGACTCAAAACTGGCACCAAAAAGAAAAAAAAAAAAATCTGTGCAGCCTTTTGCCTTTGCAAATGGCTTTGATTCTTCAAGACAAAGGCCAGGAAAGAAAAAAAAGTGTGTGTGTGTTGGGGAGGGGGTGGGGGAGACAAGCACCAGTGGCTCACACCTGTAATCCTAGCTACTCAGGAGGCTGAGATCTGAGGTTTGTGGTTCAAAGCCAGCCTGGACAGGAAAGTCCATGAGACTCTGATCTCCAATGAACCACCAAAAGAAGCCAGAAGTAGAGCCGTAGGTCCTTGAGCTCAGGTACAGCATGCCAGGCCCTGGGTTTCAAAAAGGACGAGAAGCTGGGTGCCCTTATCCTAACTACTCAGGAGGCTGAGATCTGAGGATCACCGTTCAAAGCCAGCCGGGGCAGGAAAGTTCATGAGACTCTTATCTCCAATAAACCACTAGAAAACCAGAAGTGGCGCCGTGGCTCAAGCGGTAGAGCGCTGGCCTTGAGCTGAAGAGCTGAGGGACAGCCCAGGCCCAGAGTTCAAGCCCCACGACCGACAAAACAAAAAAGATGAAGGATGAAGGAGAGCTCGCTCGGTCCTCGTGAACCCGGGGTGGGGCTGGGCTGCCCCAAGCCTGCCTGGAGGATCTGGGGGCGCTGGGCTGGGCAGCCCGGCCCCTGGCCGCCCCGATGGCGCCTGACGGCTGTCTGTCTCCCGCAGGTGCTGGGCTTGTACAAAGGCCTGGGCTCGCCCCTCATGGGGCTGACCTTCATCAACGCACTGGTGTTCGGGGTGCAGGGCAACACGCTCCGGGTGCTGGGCCACGACTCCCCGCTGCACCAGTTCGTGGCGGGGGCGGCGGCGGGGGCCATCCAGTGCGTCATCTGCTGCCCCATGGAGCTCGCCAAGACGCGGCTGCAGCTGCAGGCCGCCGGCCCGGCGCGCGCCTACAAGGGCTCCCTGGACTGCCTGGCGCAGATCTACCGGCGGGAGGGGCTGCGGGGCATCAACAGGGGCATGGCGTCCACGCTGCTGCGGGAGACGCCCAGCTTCGGCGTCTACTTCCTCACCTACGACGTGCTGACGCGCGCGCTGCGCTGCGAGCCCGCCGACCGCCTGCTGGTGCCCAAGCTGCTGCTGGCGGGCGGCACGGCGGGCATGGCCTCCTGGCTCTCCACCTACCCCGTGGACGTGGTCAAGTCGCGGCTGCAGGCCGACGGGGTGCGGGGCGCCCCGCGCTACCGCGGCCTCCTCGACTGCGCGCGCCAGAGCTACGAGGCCGAGGGCTGGCGCGTGTTCACGCGCGGGCTCGGCTCCACGCTGCTGCGCGCCTTCCCCGTCAACGCCGCCACCTTCGCCACCGTCACGGCCGTGCTCAGCTACGCCCGCGGCGGAGAGGCCCAGCCCGAGCCCGGGCCGGCCCTGGCCCAGCCGTCCGGCCTGTGACGCGCGCGCCCCGGGCCGCGCAGGACGTCAGTCACCAGGGCCGGAAGTCAGCAGGGCCGTCGGAGCCGCGCCAGGCCTGGTCCGAGCACTTTACCACTTTACACCGGCGAGTCTGCCAGTCCCCGGGCCCTGGCGCTGTTCCCTCCCCGCAGGCCGACGCCTTCGGCCTGGATTGCCCCTCTCAGCGCTGGGGCCTGGTCCAGCCTTCTGGAGACTTCTATCCGCCCAAGGCCCTGGCTGGAGAGAGAAGTCTCACCTGGGCTTCAGGCCACCTTGTGTAAAATGAGGACAGGTCAGCTGAGGCCCGAGTCACTCCGGCCGGCCGGGGCTCCTCGTGGGCGCTGGGGGCCGGGGGTGGGTGGGTGGGTGGGGGGCTCTCCAGGCTGCAAAGCCAGAGGGGCCCCGGCGGCCCCCGAGGGGCGCGGTGTGGTCTCTGCGGGCCCAGCCCTCCCAAGGAGGCAGGCTGGGCCCCGCACAGATGGGCCGCCGGCTGTGTGCACCCAGGGGCTTGGCCAGAGAGAAACCCGAAGGAAATAAAGCCGGCGTTGTTTCTAAGCGTGAGGCTGGCTGGTCTGTGTGCGCCCCGCGCAGCGCCGGCCTGAGCCCCAGGCGGCGCCCGGGCAGGTCGGGGCGCTGTGTGCGCCTCAGGCTCCTCGTCTGCGGGATGGGCTGTGGACGGGACACGGGTGAAGCCACAGTGGCCCCTCACCTCTGGCGGGAGTCACACTCCGGGGAGCCCCGGCCACAGGTGAAAACTCACGAAGTAGCAGCTTGATAGTCGTCCCTCGCCATATCTCTGCTCACTTAGAGCGACTTCTTGGATTTCCTCCCCTCCGAGCACAGCTCCTGCTATACAGTGAGGCTGCAGGAAGCGAACCGTGACACGGGGAGGGGGGACTAAATGGCACACAGGGCATTCTCAGCCTCTAGGGGCTGGAGTGGGGGTGCAGAGGGCGCACTAGAGGCAGGAAGGACACAAAGGAAGGTCTGTGGACCTGTCCATCTCAGCCTCCTGGGCAGTGAGTGCATGACCAGGCCCTCTAGAGTAATCCCACTAGTCCCCCATTAAGTCAGACTTGTGGGGGGGGGGGGAGGTGGCTGGCAGCCCACTGGGTGGAGAAGGCAAAAGAGGGGCCTTGGATATGTCCTGGTAGGGCAATGGGGACAGAAGCCCTCTTGAGTGGTAGTGTGACTGATAGGGGTGTTCTCTGCGCCTCCCAGTTCCATGACTGCAGATATATAGCGCAGGATAGCCACAATGAACTCAAAACGCCAGAGAAACCAGCACATTATAAAGCAGAATCCCCAACCTCCACCCTAAACTCTGACCACCAAACATACCCACAAATCTGGGGTGAAGAGTGAGGTGTGCTCCTAGTGAATTTGCGTTTACGTTTTTTCTCCCTGATTTGAACTATTAGGAAGTCCTGTACGAAGTTCCCACCCACACTGGTGGTCCTGTGATTTTTTTTTTTTAATATTCTCGTGTATTTTATTCTTTTATTGTAAAGGTGATGTACAGAAGGGGTTACAATTACACAAGTAAGGAAATGAGTACAATTCTTGTCGAACATTGTTACTCACTCCGGGTCCTGTGATTTGAACTCAGGGCCTCATGAATGCTAGGCAGGCACTCTACCACCTGAGCCACAACTCCAGGTGAGAGCAATGAAGAGGAAATCTCCCCTGAGCCAGGCTCTGGGCAACGTCACCTCCAGCTGGTCTGGCAGTGTGTCCATCCCTCACCTCACCAAGCACAGCCTCGTTTCTCACTGTTCTGTCCTCAGGGCTGAGCCCTAGCCTGGCACTTGACCATGGGAGCTACTCTCCCAGCCTTGTTACTGGGGGAGGAGGGGGTGCTAGAGAACTTTTCTGCTTTAAGTAGCCATGATTACAGGGATAAGCCACAGAGCCTGGCTGTCCTCTGCTCTTATCACTTGACAAGTCATTTTGGAGAATGGATGAGTTCCCAGGGAATAAAATCCTATAGATTGTGTGGCTGAGCACACAGGAGTTTACAGCCCAGGTGTCTGAGGGTTGTTTCCGACTCTGAGGGACACTGGCTCTTCTGGCTTTGGGTGCTGGTGGCACCTCTTGCTAACCCCTGGCTTACTCAGATGTTTGCTCTAGTCCCTGCTTCTTGTCCCTGTCAGGGGGCCTTCTCCCCTGGTAGAGAGTCTTCCTCTTTTCTTTTTTTTTTTTTTGGTCCGGTCGTGGGGCCTGAACTCTGGGTCTGGGCGCTGTCCCTCAGCTCTTCAGCTCAAGGCTAGCACTCTACCACTTGAACCCAGCACCACTTCCGGCTTTTCTTTTTTCTGAGGCTAATAGGCCTATCTTACTCCAGGCTGACCACATGAAAACATTGCCAAATAGCCTGTCCCAGAAAAGGACAGTTTCCAGAAAGTCAGTCCTAGGTTTCTAGGTTTCTACATCTGCGTGCGTGTGTGTGTGCGCACGCGTGCACGCATGCATGCACGCACACGCACACACACACACACGTGCGCTAGTCCTAGAGCTTGAACTCAGGCCCTGGGTACTGTCCCTGAGCTTCTTTGCTCAAGGCTAGCGCTCTTAACCATTTGAGCCACAGCTCCACTTCCAGCTTTCTGTTCATTGAAGTCTCAGGGACTTTCCTGCCAGGGCTGGCTTTAAACTGTGGTCTTCAGATCTCAGCCTCCTGGGTAGCTAGGATTATGGGAGCAAACCACTGGCACCTGGTTTCCCTTCTTTTCCATTAGAAGCTCAAACTGAAGCTTGGAGTAATGTAGCATGCCTATACTCCCAGTTACTTGGAAATCTGAGGCAGGAGGATTTCAAGGCCGGAGTGGGCTAGAGTGAATTTGTGGTCAGGCATACTAGGCACCCTGAATTAAAAAAAAAAAAAAAGCACCTATTACCCTAATACATGACAGCACACCCCAATGCTCCCCTATATTGGTTTCACAGGCCTCTGGGAGAGCCCTACCCCACTGAGGGGACAAGCTCCCTGGGTGTGTCTGCGATGGACTCCTGATCTTGTAGCTCCCAGGTGGAGCACGCAGGGGCAGCCTGCGGAGGTGGGGGGCAGAGCTGGGAGCAGGCGCAAGGCGGGGAAGGGAGCGGGCGTACAGAACAGTTGCAGCTTAGCAGTGTGGGCCCTGCCCAGATGTGGCACAGCAGCCCGGGGCCAGGCCCGTGCCCCCCAGAGCCCTGCCCAGCTTCCTCCTCCCTGCTCGTCACTTCCCTCACAGCACTTAGCCCGAATCTTTCAGGTCTCTTCTGGGTGCCACTAGGGCTGGCCCTGCGTACCTGATGAGTTATTCCTCTCAGGAATGAATGAATGAATCGGGCAGCTCTAGTCAGGGAAGCTTTGGAAATAAAGACCAGAAAGAAGGAGCAAGGAAGGGGCAGCCTCGGGGAGGCAGGAAAGTAGGCCAGGGCTTCTCTGAAAACAACTGGAAGAAGTCAGGCCATGCAGGCAGAAGCAAGCAAGCAGGGGTCCCAGCAATGGGAACCAAGAGGCTTGGACTTTGAACCTCAGCTGTCTGGTCTTCCCTTCACTGTGACAATGCTCTAATTCCTCTGAGATTCACAGGGCTTAGTAAGGCCCTGGGCGGTGAGGATCTCAGCACAATGTGGTAGCCAGGTGTATGGGGTGCTTATCTGGGGACACAGAGCAGGCCCTGGGTCCTCCCCCTCCACAGCCTGGAGATGCCCGGGCTGGCGTTCACTCCGGCTGCTCTGGGCTGGGCCTCCTATGAACCTCACTCAGCAGTCAGGGCCTTGCCACCTCAGCACCATTGGGCCGGCCGCCACATTTATCATGAGTACAAGTCACAAACACTAGAGGAGGGTAAGCCGTTTCCCTGAAAACTAGATTCCAGGGCAGAAAAACGTGTACTACATGCTGTCTCTGGCCAAATCTTGAGCAATTCTTGGTCTCTTTTTACCAAGTTTCATGAGTCCATTCCAGCTTGTCAGCTTTCCTTCTGGCGTGTGAGCGCTTGGGCTGGTGCTGGTGTTCCCAAGCCCGGCTGCACGGGTCTCACTCTTGGCCATACTTTCTCGAAAGCAGAGGGGGTGACTGTATACTTCCTGATTTTGAAAGCCCCTCAGGAAGCAGAAAATTCCCAAGAGGGAGCACTTCTTGCTGGAGGGACAGAGCCCTGCGCATGTGGGCTCTGGGCAGGGAAGCCTCTGGAATCTGGCCACGGGAGCCTGGGAATTCTCAGACCAGGTGGGAACTTCAGCTTGAATGTATAATGAGACTAAGCCACAAACAAGAACCATAGGCATTCAAAAGCTTAACATTATGCGTTTATTATACTTTATAGAGCCATGTTACACATGCTGGGTGCTTCAGACTGAGTTATCAATGTTTTTCTGGATGCAAAGCCATCTGATGCTTGATGCAGGTGCCTTAAATACTATAATATGTCTGTGTCTATGACCTATGAGCTAAGGAGAAAAACAAGGACAATTCCAGAAATAGCAAAAAACACTTGAAAAGATGTACATGAGACACAATGCTAAGTCCTCCGGCCAGTGCCTACAGAAGTTAGCAAAAAAAAAAAAAAAAAAAAATGAATACAACAGAAATTTCCATGCCATCTGTAGGTAACAGCCCAACAGTTGCTGGCGTCGTAGGAAGAGGTGACTCCCACTGGCACCCACCTTCTCCCCTCCGCAGTGCATGCAGCCCCACAGACAACCCAGCACAGCCAGCTATCTGGCCCAACGCCCCCCATTCTGTTTTTTTTTTTTTTTTTTGGGTGCTGAGGGTCTTTAAGGAAAAGGTATATGCATTTGATCACTTTGTGGAAGACCAAGCACTGTTTTGAGATGAACAGTTGTGTCACACGCAGGCCAAGAGTCCAGGCTGACCACCACCCCTGGGCAGCAGCTCATGCCTCGTGCCTCTGAGGGCCTCATGCCAACGTCTTGTGCCGAGGTTCCCTTCAGTGTTTATAAAGGGAGTGTGTGGTGCTCATCCACACATCTGTCACCCACCGCTCCCACCACACCCTGACACTGTGCCAACGTGGAAGATCTTCCTGGCACCCTACTGACCAACTACTCAGGCCCTGGAAAGATGTGGGGCGCGTCTCTCCAGCTCATGCTGCATGCCTCAGGGCCTGCACTCAGGCCACGCTCAGACAGCTAAAGCAGCTGCACACAACCTGGGCGGTAACAAGTCCAAGTGCAGGGCCAGAGCCGCCAGCAAACACTCCTTGGAGATGAACATTTGCCTGAAATACGCCTGCCTGGCCCTGCTGGGCCTCAGAACTTGGGAGTGCTGTAGTTACAAGGTCACCCAGTGCCTGGCAAGGAACTGACTATGCAGCCAGAAAACAATGAAGACAGGGCATGGCCACCAGGTCAAGTGGGTGCCAGGGAGCAACTCAGCTGTGCCCTCTCCCGTGGCCTGTGTCAAGAGGTCAAGAGCACTTCTAAGAGAACATCAGATTTCCTGCGCCATGCTCACGGCATGGTGCAGAAGAGTCAGGGAGGGCACCATCACATCTAGCTGCTGGTAGTGGCGTGGATAAAATCGGCAGGCTTATTCCAGGGACTGTGTTTTCCTGGGCCATGGACATGAACTCTAGCTGGACAGCAGTGAGGTCCGGTCCGGGGACAGGTGAGCTCTGCTCTGCTGCGAATGCAGGTGGGCAGCCACTGGCCCAGGCGGGCATCTACACGACACGCGGGCACAGCAGACGCTTCTCATCTCTGTGAAGCAATGAATGAATTCGAAAAACTGCTGAGCACCAGGAGCAGGCACTGCACACTGCTTCCTTCAAAGTTCTGGCTCTCAGATGACCAGAGTGAGTGACATTCAGAAGAAATCAGATGTGAAAAACAAACAGAAAAGAAAATCTTGATTTTTCTGAACTCCTCAGGCCTCGAGCATAGGCAAAGCACAGAGACTGTATGAAAACAGCATGAGCTCAGGGTCACCTTGGAAAATAAATGTCACCCTGGGGTGACAGTTCTTTATACAAATATCATGCCCCCCCCTCCCCCACCTCACTGCCAAAGAGGGGGAAATAATAAGAAATTCAAAAATAGAAAACAACATCTTGTTAAGTGTAAACTTATCCTCGGGAGTTTTTGTGTTTTTTTTTTCTATGTTACATATGCTAGAAACATGCACTTATTTCTGCTTGGATGTAAGAAAATATGTCTATCCGTATTACATATAAATCAGATTAATTCTCAAGACAATGGACTATTACAAGAACACAGTCTCAACCTTTAGTAAATTAATCTTTAACAAAATTATAAATTCTAACAAGCAAATGGGCTTAAGTCAAACCCAATGAGAATGACCTCTAGTCTTTACACTGCTCACTTACTAGTCTCCTACAACTGCTGTGAAGTTCAGGGTGCCGGGTTAACAAAGGAAACCGCACGTGAAGTTTTCTTTAAACCCCAAGTTGTTTCTTTACAGAAGTGCAGACTCAGAGAAGGACTTAAACATGGAGGGGCAAGGAGGGCGAAGACCGTTCCACTCAGAGGGAGGGGAAGGGAAGAAGAGAGGACCCGGGGTGCATGGCCCCAAGGCATCAAGGCACAGAGGAAGAGGAACCTCACTCCACACAGGGGCCTGGCTCCTGTGGGGCACAGCATGGCTCTCGAGGCTGCTGGCCGGGCTACTGCCCCGCACAGGTCTGCTCTGGTGTGGGACCGTGGGCAAGGGTCCTGAGGACAGTGCCAGGGCCAAGCTAGAACGCGGCCATCAGGCTGCCTGCGGGTGCTGTGGCTCTGGACTCCTGCCACTGCCACCAATTTGAGTGGCATTGTGGTACGGCCACAGCAGGGAGGCGCAAAGGCAAGGGCACGTCCGAGGTTCTGCCCAGGTGGGTCTAGGAAGGAGTGGCACAGGGCAGTCAGCTTGGGAGGGCCCCACGATGGCCGTATCCTGACCGCCAGAGACAGCAAGTCTAGGGTGTATCCAGAGAACAGCTGAGGACTTCTGAGGAACTCAGTTCCAGCCAACTACTCAACAGATCACAGATTCTGGACAAATAAAAATAAACCTCTGGAGTTCCATGTTTCACTTAATGGTTCAGAAGGCACTTCAAAATCCCACAGAGCCTCGGGGGCCCCGTCACCAGCCCTCCTGGTGACTGGGCTGTACACCCAGGCTACCTATCTGACCCCAATGGTGCCCCGGCCACTCTGGAAATAAACCTGATATTAGCGAGTGTGTCATTTATCTTGCAGAGTCAAGCATGGATCACAAAAAGACACACAACACAGTATGTCTGCATTTGGACTAAATGGGATTTTGCTGTATCACGGCAGTTTATAAAATAGTTAACAAGTCTGATATTTGATCTTAAGTAAAATTCAAAAATTGTACATTAAAGAGGTTGCAACATGAGACATAAGTACTCACTGAGTACAATTCTCTAGTAATCTAATCACCTTGCCAATCTGTACTCAAGAGTCCACATAGAAGCATGGAAATCAAGCTACTGGTACTCAATCGCCACATTTGCTAGCATTTAATAGACTTCACTAGATGCTCTGAAATCAAATATTCATAGCCATGTTTCCTGTTGGACAAGCCACTGGGGCGGCCTTTGAAGGCCGCCTGAGTGGGGGTGGGGAGGAAGGCCTAGATTTTCCTTGGTGCACCCACTGCCAGTGACCGCCTCTCCTTCGGAAGGCCTCATCCTGGCTCAGCGTGTCATCCCCACCACCCATGGGCCAATCTGGGGTACTCTGAGGTAGTTCTTTAACTTGGGATGTCTGTTACCAATCTTTCAGTCAGGAGATGGAGGAAGGATTAGTATTATCCATGCATCGATTTAATCACAAGTCACTGTAATTGAGTGCAAAATAAAGGAAACTTGAGTTGCTTTATTTAAGCTTCCAATTTCTGGGAGGCTCAAGAATTTTAAGTATTTTGGACAATAAAAGAAAATAAGACTGTGCTTACAGATCTTCTTCTGCCATGTTCTCTCTGTAGGACCGCTAGTTTATTGTTGCCCTTTCTGTTACACGGATGTACACATCAGGTGGTAAAAGGTACAATACATTCTACAACTGAGCACCACTTTCTGTAACTGAACAGGCAAAGAAATTACACTGAACATCAGCATCTGGCAGTATTTTTTGGAAAAAAAAAAAGTGACTAAAATGGGTTTAAATTGATTAACACTATTAAATCACATCTAATATTTGGTACTACATGATTCAATACAGCTATACGATACAATTATACAAAATGTGTTAACATCAAAGAATACAACCAAAATTAAGATAGCAAACAAAAACCTATATAACTTTTTTTTTGTACAGGAAAAATACTTTTGAAGTATGCATGTAACTGCCCATTCTTTTAAAGAAAATCTACCGCAAGCAAAGTTATCAACCTCCAGAAAAATCACACATAGCATTACTAAGCATATCCCCAAAAAGTGTACAATATGCACACTTGGAAAATACAAAATTAAAAAAATTGTAAGCAACAGGTGAGCTTCATATTTATAAGAATGTGAAAAGAAGTCCCATTTTTAGCACTGTTGTATAAAGAATTGTCTTTTGATGCGAAGTTCATGAATTGTCCTCCTGTTGGGACCACTTTACAAAAACACCGTGTTGTTTTTGAAACGAGATTACAGAGCAAGATAGAGCATCTTAGCGATGTCATCTTATTGAAGTTTTTTTTAATTTTTACTACTTTATCAAAACACGTCCCTTAGGTGTGTAGGATTCATTTTTAAAATTCTTCCTAGAAACAATATACAAAAGAGAGGCATATGGATTCCCAATCACTCCTGAAAATGCTTCCCACTGGTGAGAAGGGTCTCCTCTCTTCTTTTCACTGGTTGTTTTTGGCTTTAGCATGTGTTAAGATGTGAGATTTCAGGTTAGTTGACTGAGCAAATTTCTTATTACAGCCGTCGAAGGGGCACACATAGGGCCTGTCTCCGGTGTGGATTCGCACATGCGTGCGTAAATTGAAGTCCAGTGAAAAGCGTTTCCCGCAGCCTTCAAATGTGCACTGTGGAGGAAAGGTCAGATGTCAAGCACTCAGCGGGCAGCCGGCATCCAGCCGCTTGCTGTGTTGGTGGACAGCGCCCAGCTCTCACTGAACACACTTCCTTCCTGCCCTGGTACCACGCTCCACATTCTAGAACTAGTGAGCAGGGATCTCTCACTGTGCATGCTGGACAACCCTAAAGCGCACAGCTGTTTAAGAACCTAAGAGAAACACATGGCAAAGTGGCAACCATTGCCTGATGTGTCAAGTTAGTGCCCATGTACCTCTGTAAAATACAAATCAAGTTTTCTGAGCGGAGAGAACCATGTGAACTCTATTAGCCACACAGCCAACTCATTAGCCTATCTGTGGGCGTCTGAAAACAAGAAAAGTATTATTTACTCATACAATAAAAATTTAGATTTCCTGCTGATCAATTCAATATATAACTGGCTCCTTTCGCCCCGTCGTTGAATGCACTAGAGGCGACTGACTGTGGGCTTGCTCTCTTCTGCACAAACACCACCCGCATGACATGACATCGCCAGGAGCCGGGACAGGCCCTCCGCTGGCGCCCTGCACGCAGGCTGGCTGTGGCGCACAGCTAGCTTGCGCCATGGGGACAGGACAGTGAGGCAGTGTGCAGGGACAGAAGAAACCGGCCCTACCTGAAAGGGCTTCTCTCCAGTATGAACCAGTTGGTGTCGCTTTAGCTTTGAGCTCTCAACAAAAGCTTTGCCACACTCTGCACAGACGTGGACTCGGGGGCCGTGGGTGTGCAGATGTTTTCTCATAGCAGAGTTATCCCTGAACATCTTTGTGCAGCCCTTGAAACAGAGAAAGAAGCGTAGTGGTTCACACTGCAGGTGGTGAGAGAGGCCCCAACCACTCGACAGCCTTTTCTGAAATGTGAGCTACAACACAATGGCCACCCGCCCCCTCCCCTCCCCCTCCCTCATTAACCCCTCTTAGCAGTACAGAACAGTCAGTTGTTTAAGACAAAAAAACAGACAGCTGAGAAAGGCCTTGTCATTTACTGCAAACCCGTTTTACAGATGAGGAAACTGAGGCTTAGAGACACCTTGAAGTAGACTTGCCCAAGGTCACACTACTAGCAGTAGCCACGCCGGGAGTAGAACCCAGCACCCCGGCTTCCAGCTACACCACAGTTGCCTCACCCAGCTACACCCCCAGATGAAGTAACAGAAGCACTGAGAAATAAACGGAGTTAAAATGACGGTAGTCCACCACTACCTTTGGTGGGCCCCATATTCTGTGCTGCGACAATGGGCTGTCACTCTCCATCGCCTACTGTTCCCTCTTCTCTCTTTGCCTCTTTCCCCTTCTTGACAGAGAAAGAAGCAAGAGGGTCTCCAAGGAATGGCAACTACAGAAGAAATTTATTTGGTGAGACACTGGGAAAAGGCAGAGGCAGGCAAAGCGATACCAGCGCGGGGAGGAGATGGAGGGGCCGAGGGCAGCATGTCCTCTACAATTTCTTCTGCAGTTGTTGCCCATGATGGAGGGAGTGGGGAATGGTGAGACAGTGTGACAGAAGGACAGCACAGGCCACCACTAGACAGCTTCACAGGCAAAAGGGAGGGAGAGCCAGTGAGGTCACTTTGACCTCTAAGTTCTGCTTCCATTCAGAAAACGGAACTTTGGAAATATACAGAGAAGCTAAAGAGTAACGGCCAGCTTAACTGTTTTCAAATGCCGTTTTCGGTCCCAAGGGACACAGGCTTGCTGCCCCTCCCCCCAGCATTAAGAGCGCTACAAAGGAATTCCTGAAGAAGCAGGAGCGCGCAGTCCTCAGAGGCAGCTCCAAATTTACCCTCCAATTGCTGACTTTTTAGACACTCTTATTCCATTCATAAGTTCATCCTCTTTGTCTCTCTGCATCTATTTGATAGCTCACTTTTTCTTCTGGTTTACTAGTCAATTCGAGCTCTGAAACAGACCCCAAGGAACACTTCCCACGTACTTTCATTTGAAAGACAAGTTACATTTGAAAACAATTAAGCACCATTCTAGTAACACAATTTACAGGGCAAATAAGAAATTGTAAAGGAAATTAGCAACTATTTGCCTCATCTTATCAATATCCAAAATAATTTCCAAACTTCAGTCACGAACCTATGTTCTTATTGAGGTCTGTGTCCAAAAAAGAACTAAAGTCCTAACATAGCAGAGTCAAGATATGGACTACACATGTGGGCTCCTTACAGTAGACCCACTAAGCGTCCTGTACTGAGCAACAAACCCAAGGTGATAAAATTCCTCACTGTATTGCGATTTAAAAGTTGGAACTGGAAGTGCAAATCTCTTATAAACTCTCTAAAACTCCATTAACAATGTAATCAACACTTTCCCCCTAGCATTACTTACTTTATGAGGGCAAGCTATTGTTCTTGGAGCATCATCTTCTTTAATTTTTCTTGGCTTCATTCTTATCAAAAAAAAAGAGAGAGAGAGAGAAAGACAGACAGACAGATTTGTAGGAGTGGGTACACTCGACTGGCATAAATCAATAGTCCCTGCAATATCTCCTTATAGGTGTAACCAACACTAAGCTCACAGTATGCTCCCACAAGGAGCCAGGGCCAGGCGGCCCAGCACTGATGGACGCCAGGCGTGCTCTTCCTTCCCCATAAGGGGGCTGCTGCCTCACTGCTGCTCTAAAAGGCCATGCTACTTCTGCAGGTCACAGGCAATGAGCTGCAGCTCAGAATGGCACTCAGAGCCATGTGGTTCAAATACTCGCTTTTTGCCGGTGGGTGGCTCATGTCTGCAATCCTAGCTACTCAGGAGGCTAAGATCTGAGAATCATGGTTCAAAACCAGCCCGGGGGGGGGGGGGGGGGGGGGGGAGAGGAAGGTGGCTCAGTGGTAGAGAATTTGCCTTGCATGCATGAGGCCCTGGGTTCGATTCCTCAGCACCACATAAGCAGAAAAAGCCAGAAGTGGCACTGTGGTTCAAGTAGTAGAGCGCTAGCCTTGAGCCGAAGAGCTGAGGGACAGCGCCCAGGCCCAGCATTCAGGCCCCACGACGACGACGACGACGACGACGACAACAACAACAAAAAAACCAGCCCAGGAAGGGAAAGTCTGTGAGACTCTCATCTCCAATTAAAAATAAACGACCAAACAAACAAAAAAAGCCTGAAGTGGAGCTATGGTTCAAGTGGTAGAATGCTAGCCTTGAGTAGAAGAGCTCCGGGACAAGTGCCCAGGCCCAAAGTTCAAACCCCCATGACCAGCGAAAAAAGGCCCCATAACTTGCTTTTACTTCTAAACCTTAAAAAAAAAAAAAAAAAAAAAAAAGTACAAAGATCAATAGCTCAGAGAGCCACAGAGCAGGCGTCCCCTGGCAGGGGGCAAAGTGCCCATCAAAAGCAGCTGTGAGACAGCAAAGGTACTTTGTGAGAAGGGAAGAAGTGGAGCCAGGCGCTGGTGGAACTGTGGCTACTCAGATGGCTAAGACTTACAAGACCATGGCTTGAAGCAAATGAGGCAGAAAAGTTCACTAGATCCTATCTCCAGCAAAAAGAAGGGCTGGAGGCATGGCTCAAATGGTGGAAAGCCAGCCTTATAAGGCCCAAAATTCAAACCCTAGTACCACCAAAATAAAAAGATAAACAAAAATAAAACTCTACACAACTGCTTAACACACAACGCTTCATATTAAATGACTTTTAATGGCATTATAAAAATGTATATACAATAGTCTGTAAACAGTATTTACATCGATGTACAGAAAAAAAATTCTCTCTCAAAGGAAATACAGAAAACCATCAAATGCTACTTCTGAGAAACTAGTGGATATGTGGGAATGGAATACACATACTCCAAGACTGGTTTTTACCAGATCGCTTGTGGTAGTCTGAGTGGCAGAGGTCAGTCAGTTTCAAAGGGAACTTTTTTAGGACTCACTGACCCTTACCTTCTTTCTTACTCAAGGCTAGCACTCTACCACTTGAGTCACAGTTCTGCTTCTAGCTTTTTGGGGAGGTAGTTTATTAGAGAAAAAAAAAAAAGCCACAGGGCTGGGAAGGTGGCTCAGTGGCAGAGCACTTACATTGCATGCATGAGGCCCTGGGTTTGATTCCTCAGCACCACAGAAGCAAAAAGAAAAAAAGCCTGAAGTGGCGCTGTGGCTTAAATGATAGAGCACTAGCCTTGAGCTAAAGAGCTGAGGGACAGCGCCCAGGCCCAGAGTTCAAACCCCACAACTGGACTCCCCCCCCCCCCCCAAAAAAAAGTCACAGACTTTCCTGCCTGGCCTGTTTTGAACCTCAGTCCACAGATCTCAGCCTCCTGAATAGCTAGGATGACAAGTGTGGCCTGGCAAGACTTACTTTAACAGTGACTTCTTGCTCTGCCATCTGGCTGGGGGCTTCAGAGCACTCAAGGCCCTCCCCTTGGTAATTCGGGTGGGCAGCCTGGGAAGTCCTGTAGAAATGACTGATTTGTTAACTTACCCACTTGCTAACTTCTACCGAACTAATCTTTGGCTTTTCTATTAGAACTTTTTCTCCAAATATTATCCTCAAAACCACATATGGCAGAGGGGTCAGAGATTCTAGAAGGGCAAGAAATTTCTAGGAAAACCAAAGAACAAAAGCTCAAACCTCGAAAAACATTTTCTTTTGCCCCTAGATCTGCCATCTCATAATAAACTGATGCTTCTTAAATTGCCTAAGTATTTAGTATTTACCACCACCTTTTTTTGTTGTTGGAGGTCATGGGGCTTGAACTCAGGGCCTGGACGCTCAGGGTTACTGCTCTAACACTTCTTGAGCCACAGCTATACTTCCGGGTTTTTTAAGTAGTTAATTGGATTTAAGAGTCTCAAGAGGAAGAACTTTCCTGCCTGGGTTGGCTTTGATTTCCTGAGTAGCTAGGATTACAGGTGAGGCCTCAGTACCATCAATATCCCCAGCACCTGGCTACCACCACCCTTTTATATCATGGAGTTACAGAGTGCACATACTTCTACTTTAATTTTTCAGAGCATTCTCCGTGTGGCATCCCCACCCCCACCCTACAGCTAGCAAGATGGTTTTTGTGTGTGGGAGAGATGTACTGGAGTTTGAACTCAGGGCCTAGACCACTGTCTCTTAGCTTTTTCTATTCAAGGTTGGAGCTCTTGAGCCACATAGCTCCACTTCCATTTTTTTTTTTTTTCCTGATTAACTGAAATTAAATGTCTTACGGACTTCCCTGCTTGAGCTGGCTTGGGACCTGGATTCTCAGATCTTAGCCTCCTGAGCAGCTAGGATCACAGACATGAGTCATTGGCACCCGGCTATCAAATTAGTTGTGACAGAACTGTACCATTGTGTTTGTCTACATTTTTAAGGAGCAAGCATTTAAAAGAGGGTAGATTTTCAGAAAAAAAAAAAAAAAAATGTGTGTGTGTGTGCTGATCCTGGGACTTGAATGAACTCAGGGCCTGAGCACAGTTGAGCTTTTTTGTTTTTTTTGCTCAAGGATAGCACACTCTATCAATTGGGCCACAACTCCACTTTTGGCTTTTTTGGTAGTTAACTGGGGATAATTGGAAATAGAAATCTCAAACTTTCCTGGCTGAACTGGTTTTGAACCTAGATCTTCAGATCTCAGCATTCCGAGTAGCTAAGATTACAGGCCTGAGCCTGGCATTCTTTTCAAGTTGTTCCTTTTGTTTTCCTCTTTCCTTTTCTCTCTAGTCTGTGTGTGTGAGTGAGACAGACAGACAGACAGACAGACACACACACACACACACACACACACAATTATCTGACTCTACATCTCAGGCTGGCCTCAATCTGACCATGATTTCTAACTCTAGTTTATTAGCCTTCAGAATGCTAATGTTATAAAAATTTGCCACCTTCAAAAATGTGTACAAACTGGGTGCTGGTGATTCACATCTGTAACTAGCTTCTCAGGATCAAGAGCTAAGGATCAAGGTTTGGAGCCATTGGGGCAGAAAAGTCTGTGAGACTTTTATTTCCAACTAACTAGCAAAAAGCTAGAAGTGGAGGTGTGGCTCAAGTGGTAGAGCTATTACTAGCGCTAAGCAAAAAAGCCAAGTGAGAGTATGAGGCCCTGAATTCAAGCCCCATATATACACTAGTATTTCAGTCTAACTAATTATAGAATAAAAACTTTAATGCATTGGGACTCCAGGAATCAATGAGACTTGAACAGAGGACTTGTGCACTACTTTTCACTACTAAGTGGTTAGTTTCCCCAAAACAGCACTTAATTGGAAGTTTGGTAGGACTAAAATCATACACGCTGCTTAAGTATCACTACTCAGTCACTGGCTACAATTCTTTGTGGACCCAGAAACACTGAGGACAACGGCATAGGCACTATGAACAAGACAGGATGGACATGTCTTGGAGCTGGCGCCTACTAGATGCATGACCTTGAGCAGACCACTCAACTTCTCGGCCTCTGGTTTCTTATTCTGTAAACAGGTATTTGGATCCTATTTTAAAGCTACAAGGATTCAAATATGGTCAAACATTACACACTTGGCTAGTGGTTACAAGGGCCTAAGTTTAAAATGAATCCATTCTTCGTGTTTTTGAATGGGCTATGTAGCCCAGGCCGGCCTTGAACTTGCAAACCACCTGTGCCTCACCCTCAGGAGAGCTAGGATTACAGGCAGGACCACCAAGCTTGGCTTAGAAAGTGTTTTCAAAGGTCTAATTTTTAAAAGTCTAATTAGTTAATGAAATACACATAAAGACTATCATTTAATCAAACAGCAGAAGCTTGCTTGCCAGGTTCTACCCACCAACTGCTTTTCAAACATGCACATTTCAAGAAAGAATGAAGTGCCCTATGGTCCCAGCTTGGCAAACGTAGTACTTTCAGATGAAAGTCATCACAACTTGTATCTGTTCATGGGAGTGACTCGATACACTAACCAGACTGGGTGAACTGTGGCAGGAACCTGAGCTGTCTCTGATCAGCTTCACTGGAATGCCAACCAAACTGTCATCGACTAAGAGGTCAGGATGAAAATGATGTGACTCCAGGAGTAAGAGCAGAGGGGGATGAGAATGGGAGACCAGAAAAACAAGTTCAATGAAGATGTGGTTTGGTGCCCATCAGACTGAAACTTGATGTCTCCTTCAACTGTGGGGCTCCAGCCACCAATTCTGGGACCCCAGGGAAATCCTGTTCAACTGTTATACACATTTATGTTTTCACATCTTTAAAAAGCAGGCACCCGGGCTCAAGTACTTCCCTCCACCACCATTACCCAATTAGAAGTGCGTCTAGGTTAACATCCTCTTCAGCCCTCCATTCACCTTGGTGCCCACACTTCTACTTTTGTTTTTTGGTTAGTCGTGGAGATTGAACTCTGGGCTTGGGCGCTGTCCCTGCGCTCTTTCAGCTCAAGGCCAGCGCTCTACTGCTTGAGCCACATTGAGCCACAGCGCCACTTCCAGTTTTCGAGTGGTTTATTGGAGATAAGAGTCTCAAAGACTTTCCTGCACAGGCTGGCTTTGAACAGTGATCCTCAAATCTCAGCCTCCTGAGTAGCTAGGATTACAGGCGTGAGCCACCAGCGCCCGGCTTCTACCATTTTGAGCCATACCCCCAGAGCCCAGTTTTGTGCTGATTATTTTTGGAAATGGAATCTCAAACTTTTCTGCTCAGGCTGGCTTCCGACAGAGATCTCTAGATTTCAGTCTTGTACTAGAGGTAGGATTACAGGTGTGAGACCCTGGCGGCTGTCTGCCTCAGCTTGTCTTCATGTAGCCACTTGCCTAAGAGGTAACATGAAAAAGTGGCCCTCTGAACCCCAGTCCTCCTATTTTGCTTCTTCTTGTAGCTGGAAAGACCGAGGGGTTTCTTGTTGTTGAGATAGGGACTTTACTAGCTTATTTTGTCTGGAGGGCTAAATAGCTGTCCTCCCAATCTCCACCTCCTGAGTAGCTGGGATTACAGGCATAAGCCATTTACTATACCTACTAAACACTTTACTGCTCATTCTGTCCAAACTGAGAGAAAGTGACTTTGCCTGAGGAATTTGTGCCTGGCAACTTCTTCTAAAGACAGTGTTGCCCTGGACCCAAGATAACACTGGCCAGTGACTTCTACCTATGGTACTACGTGAGTGAGGCACAAAGGCAAGTTTGGACATGAGTTTCTGAAGTTCCAGTTCCGGCCGGACAGAAAGCTTAACTATGCCAACAACAGTAATTACAAAAATGACACCATGATCGGAAAGGAGACTGTTCCAATTAATTTTCAGGCATATGTCCACAAGAGTGTGATGGAAATGAAGAGAATTACCTGAAATGCTTGGTTTTCAGTCTCATCCAATTACACTTTAAGATCAAACCCATTTAGATTGGGTGGCTTTTTTTTGGGTCAGTTGTAGGGCTTGAACTCTGGGCCTGGGCGCTGTCCCTCAGCTCTTCAGCTCAAGGTGAGCGCTCTACCGCTTGAGCCACAGAACCACTTCCGGTTTTCTGGTGGTTAATTGGAGATAAGAGTCTCAAAGCCCCAGCTGGCTTTGAACCATTATCCTCAGATCTCAGCCTCCTGTGTAGCTAGGATTACAGGCATGAGCCACCAGCGCCTAAAGATGTGTATATATACACACATATATATGTATATATATATACGTATACATATGTGTGTATATATATATAAAATTAGGGATGGGTGAGGGAGGTTATTTTTTTTTAATTTGGGAATTTTAAAAATTAACGTGGAACAAAAGCTATTCTTTTGTATGTGAACTGAAACCATGAAATAAGGGGGAAGAAAAGACTGTTTTCCAGCCAGCTGTCTTCTGGGGTTTCTGCCTACAAAGTCTTCTTCCTGCTGTCCATCCAAATCTACTCTGCTGTACCCTTAAGTAGCCAACTCCAGAAAGTGGACAGACACAACACAAGGACTATCTTCACTAGTTCTCTGCAATTGTTGTCTTATACTTATATTTGACTGACAGCTTTGCTAGATCAAGAACCCTATGTGTGGAATGGGAATGTGGCTTAGTGGTAGAGTGTTTACCTACTTAGCATGTGTGAAGCCCTGGGTTTGATCCTTAGTTCCACATAAACAGAAAAGGCCAGAAGTGGTACTATGGCTTGAATGGTAGAGTGCTAGCCTTGAGCAAAAAGCTCAGGGACAGAGCCTAGGCCCTGAGTTCAAGCCCCAGGACTGCCTCCATCCCTCCAAAAAAAGAATCCTATGTTTATGGGCTGGGCCTAGAGGTCAGTGGTAAATCGACTGCCTAGCATGCCTAAGGTCTTGGGTTCCATTCCCAGCAAGAACTTGAAAAACGTATGTATCATCTTCTAGTCATCTGTTGGAATGACGTCATTCTGGTATACCATTCTTCTGTATAGCCTTTCTCCCAGCAAGCTTTCTGAAATGTCACAAAAGAATACTTCTAGGGTCCCAGTCTCCAAGAGGAGCCCCTTTCCTATAAAGAATGTTCTAAGGCAGCGAGCCCTGACCCAGAGAGGTCAGGTTACTTCAGCAGCCACACATCCTGCCTTTTCTTTTCAGAAGACTCGAGGCAGGGACAGGAAGCTATCCTATTCTCCCATTCTCCAGGAAGGGTGAACAAGACCAAAGGTCACCTATATACATCTAAGTACTTGTACTGCTCACTACCCACCAGGCCCCTCTCATTTCAAAGTCCTCCTTCAGTCATCCACCCTGCCACTGAAAAGACTTCAATATCTAGTCTCGTCCTCCCTCTCCCGGACCACTGGCAACTCCTTTACAGCAGCACACTGCACCTTCTCAGGTCTCCCACTCGTCCACCTAAAGAGCCTTCTCTCTCACCCAAAAGCCAATGGTTAATATCCTGAGGTTAGACGCTTATCTCTCTTCAGAGCTAACTCACCATCTTCATGGCTCTTAGCCTATCCCTGTAAAATAACTGTCACCTCCAGTCCAATATGATGCTTTCTCAATATCTCCAACTCACACTGCCCACCCTGAGCCCCAGAATTGTTTTCTCTGACTCAGTGAGGGCAGATTCCACATCAGTTTCGGTTTTCCTTTACCTGCCCTATTCCCACCTCACTAAACACACAACCAATCTGAATCTAAAACTTAGGTTGACGCCTGTAAATTTCTACACACTTATTTCTTTTCTGTATGATTGCCATCATTTGGGCTCAGGCTTCCATTTGCTCTTATCCACTGCCTTCTCCCAGGTCCCAGATGGACTACATCAGTCCAGCCTGAATCCAGCTGTGTAGTAATCCTCTCAAACTAAAAGCTCTCATCGCCCAGCCCTCTCCCTCCACACAGCTCAAAAAGCTGTAGCAAGGGCTAACTAGGAAGGTGGCTCCGTGGTAAGGTGCTTGCCTTGCATGCATGAGGCCCTGGGTTCGATTCCTCAGCAACACATAAACAGAAAAAGCCAGAAGTGGCACTGTGGCTCAAGTAGTAGAGCACTAGCCTTAAGCTGAAGAGCTGAGGGACAGCGCCCAGGCCCAGAGTTCAGGCCCCATAACTGACAAAAAAAAAAAAAGTTGTAGCAACTGCCCACTGCCCACTTACTAGCTTCCACACATTTTGGCCTAACAGTCATGGACCCACAGCACGATTCCAGCATGCCTCAAAACTCCAATAGAGGCAGGTGCACATGGCGTCCATGTTTTTTATGGTTCTACTGCTTGGCCCGCAAGAAAAGTCCATCTCTACTGATCAATACTCATACCAAATGCCAGTCCCTTTATAATGAGTCCACAAGGAAGGTGGGTTTAGGAATACTTGAGAATATTACATTCCAGTTTTTCCCTCTACCACTCTGCTCTCAAGAGAAGAAAGGAACTTCCCTCTCTCCTCAGCAGGTGTAGGATGAGTCCTCCCTGAGGAACCACACAGCATTCTTGCCTACATTTCTATTCAGCTCAAGTAAGGGAAGAATTAGGCCTTCCATCTTAAACATTTACATTTTTGTGTTTTCCTGTAACCTTGTGAAAATTGCCAAACAGTACTGAAAAGTAAAATAACAAAAAAGCCAGGTGCTGGTGGCTCACACCTGTAACCCGTTACCCAGGAGGCTGAGATCTGAGAATTGCGGTTCAAAGCCTACCCAGGCAGGAAAGACCATGTGACTCTTATCTCCAATTAACTACCAGAAAACTGGAAGTGGTGCTGTGGCTCCATGTGGTAGAGTGCTAGCCTTGAGCTGAAGAGCTCAAAGACAGCGCCTAGGCTCCCACAGAGGAATTCAGTCTGCTTTAGGCAAAATGAACAAACAAAACCAACATACATCCAGTGGGTTCAGACCTTGGCTTTTCCCTCACAGGACAATTCCAGGAGTCCTGGCCAAGAATATCTGGCCAGGAAAGCTTAGCTGATGATACACCAAAACACAAACTAGTGCAGTCCTTTCTGTCCTGCAGTCAGCTAGGACTGAGTTGAGGGTGCAGCCTGGCTCCGGCAGTGACGAGCGCAGCATACCCATGTTAAAAAGAAGGCAGCGTCCAGGAGGGAGCGTGAGGACACTGCCTGCAAAACAAATTGTGTCCAACGGACAGTGTCAGTGATGTGATTTCAGAGTATTTGCCTAATCTTACTGCTGTCTGTAAGGATTTTAAATGCTGCCACTCCCATTAGTGACATAATTATCAGTAAAACTGGCTGCTTTTTCTAGGTGTCCCTAGAAAAAAGAATACAACTCACCATTGTGACAGCTAGCACGATTCAAGCACTTATTATATGGTAAGAAAGGGAAGTTCTGTAACTTACCTAGCAAATTCTGCTAGTTGCTTAGGATCTGAGAGGTCAATGCCAGGTATCCCTCCAGGAGGGAGTTTCTTGCCTGTCATATATTCTGAATAATCAGGAGGCGAGTTCTCTCCAATGATCTGTTCTTCAACCACCGTCTCATGGTCAATATCTTTTTTTTCATCTGAAACACATGAGAAAATTTTTGAAGTATAAAAACTGCTTTCACTATGTATGTTCTCCAAAAGGCATTTATAGTTTGTTACCAGCTTAGTTTCTTTTTCTTTTCTTTTGGTGCCAGTCCTGGGGCTTAAACTGTGGGCCTAGGCACTATCCCCGAGCTTTTGTGCTCAAGGCTAGCACCCTACCACTTGAGACACAGCTACATCTCCAACTATTTTGGTAGTTTATTGGAGATAAATTTCATGGGCTTTTCTCCCTGGGCTGGTTTGGAACCATGATCCTCGGATCTCAGCCTCCTCTGAGTAGCTAGGGTTATAACTGCCCATACTCCATGTCCAAAACTCGTGTACCTTCACAGGAGTGTTTCCCTTTATACTTGGTACCAACCTCAATTAGTGTCTCATCCTTTTACTTTTCAGCCTCAGCCCACTCTTAACTGGCTCTACTTCTCACAGTTCTGCCTTTTACTTGTCTCATACATTCCTGCCTAACTATCAGCTGGATACCACTGGATGAGCTCTGGCCTACTGGCTTGTAACTCGTAGTGGGTCTCCAAGCTCCTAGTCCTTCAGCCTTCTTTGCTCCTTCCTCCAATGCACTGTGGCCCACTCAGCAACCTGATAGCCTTCAAGGGTAAGGGAAACTATGGCTGTAAGGCTGGCTTTGTCCTCTCCCACCAGATTGCAGGCTCCAAGAAAACAGGGTCAGTTTTGATCCTATGTATTCACAAGCATAGCCTTTCTCAAAATTTACAGATAATTACCCTTTAGTAAATACACTGTCAAAAAGCATATGACAGACATGTCCAAGTGTAAGTCTCCATACTCTCAACCCAACTGGTTTGAACGCAATGTACTATGTCCTACACAGAGGATCCTGTCCAGCACCTATGTGCTGCCCAGTTCCACTTTAACATTCAGTCTTGCTTTCTATTCTCCCAGTTAATCCGCTGGTGCCTGCCTGCTAGGAGGCACTCAATAAGCCCAAATTCCTGCCCCATCTCTTCTCTCTTCTCCCTAATGTAGGCCTTTAGAGAGCTACCCCTGCCCCACATTCTTAGCTCTATTGTGAATCCCTAGATTACTTACTGATAACAAGACTAAGAGATTCTAAGTTATTCTCTGAACTTTTGTTAAGTCTTGCATCAAGCTAGAGGGCAAGTGTCCAGATCAAATACTGTCTTCTACCACTTTGATGCTTAAAGTAGAAAATGAATGCCTCATAATCTTAAATACCAAAATTTCAGCTTCTCCATAAATTTCATTTCATGAATTACAACATCTTCCAAAAGTATAAATGGGCTTGTCCAACTTTTACTCCCTATTATCTTTCTACCAAGTATTTAAAAGACAAAACACAAATTCAACCCCAAAACAAAATAAAACCTACAATCAAGGACAGCACCAAAAACTATGTAAATAAAAGAAGATAGAAAGGTAGAATGATGCTCACTTGACTCAAGCAACCATTATTAAATTCACCACTCTCAGCCAAAAAAAAAAGCAAAAGCAAAAGCCCACAGGATACAATTTTTAAACCTGAAATGATTCCTCCTATTATTCGTCTTCCTACTCATTATAAAGACTATAGATGGGCTGGGAAGGTGGCTTAGTGGTAGAGTGTTTGCCTCCCATGCATAAGGCCCTGGATTCAATTCCTCGGCACCACATAAGCAGAAAAAGCAGGAAGTGATACTATGGATCAAGTGGTAGAGCGCTAGCCTTGAGCTGAAGAGCACAGGGACAGTGCCCAGGCCCAGAGTTCAGGCCCCATGACTGACCCAAGAAAATTAAATAAAGAATATTGACTAGCCTGGCAATGTGGCTGGCATCTATTATTCTACTCACAAGGCTGGGATATGAGGATCACAGTTCGAAGCCAGCTCCATCGGCAGTGTGTGTGCACTTGGGAGTGCACACACGCACGCATCACATACACACACAATATCCAGAGTAGAGAGTAGGTTACGTTTGTGTGTGCACACACATGGGCATGTGCAAAAGCTGAAGCTTGGGCTCAGGGGACTAGATTTTCCTCTTAAGCAACACCTCCACATTTTAAGCTGGTTAACTGGAGATGAGTGGCTCAGTTTTTCCTGTTTGAGCTGGCTTCAAACTTCCAACATCAGATCTCAGTCTTCAGAATAGCTAGGATTACAGGTGTAAGACACCTCTGCCCAGCAATGGCTTGATGTTTGCTTGCAGGCAACACTTTAATTAATGTACAAACTGCCCTATGAAACTAGCAATGTAACTTTACAGAAGAGAAAGTTAACCGGGCACCGGTAGCTCACGCCTGTAATCCTAGCTACCCAGGAAGCTGGATCTGAGGGTCTCGGTTCAAAGTCAGCCCGGGCAAAACAGGAAAGTCCATGAGACTCTTATCTCCAATAAACCACTAGAAAACTGGAAGTGGCACTGTGGCTCAAGTGGTAGAGCGCTTGCCTTGAGCTGAAGAGCGCAGGATAGTGCTCAAGCCCAGAATTCAAGCCCCACGACTGACAAAATAAGAGAGAGAGAGAAAGTTAGGGTCGGTGCCAGCGTGTCCTGTTGTGTCATGTAATGGCATCCTCCCGCCGTCTTTCAAACCCGGGTTCAGGCGTGTTGCGGGCGAATCATGGCAATGAAGGCCGTGTGCATGCAGGGCATCATTCACTTCGAGCAGCAGGCAAATGGGCCAGGTGTGGTACAGGGGACCATTACAGGATTGACTGAAGGCCAGCATGGATTCCATGTCCATCAGTTGGAGATAATATACAAGGTTATACCAGTGCAGGTCCTCACTTTAATCCTCTATCTAAAAATCACGGTGGGCCAGCAGATCAAGAAAGACATGTTGGAGATCTGGGCAATGTGAGCGCTGACAAAGGTGGTACAGCCAAAGTATCCATCCAAGACTCCCTGATCTCACTCTCAGGAGAGTACTCCATCATTGGCCGCACTATGGTGATCCATGAAAAAGCAGATGACTTGGGCAGAGATGGAAATGACAAGAGTAAAAAGACAGGAAATACTGGAAGTTGTCTGGCTTGTGGTGTTAATTGAGATCACCCAGTAAACATGCTCTACCATGTGGCTGTCTGAGTCCCAGTAACCCATTTGTTACCTTGCTAGTTTTAGGAATTTAACCCGATAAACATTAAACTCTGTAATGAGAACTGATTTATGGTCACCTGGAAGATTTGTATAGTTTTATAAAACTCAATTAAAATGTGTTTGATACCTTATTTGCCAGATTACTCATATATGGGTATTAAACTTGTTTGAATTTCATTTTCATTGAAGCCTATAAACTCTCGCACACACAGATGAAGATGTACTAATGAAATAGATGAAGGGGATGTATTAATGAAAACAACTGGGGTTACTGATCGTCAGGTACAAGACTGGGACTCCACACCATCATTAGACTTTCACATCACTCCCCTTAGCCGGCCTGCCATTCCCCTGAAAACCCTTTTGTCCTACCATTTCTGTAACCTACGCACAACTGCTACCATAGCAGATCCTCCAACTGGCACAGAATCGCATGGGGAGGGGTGGGGAAGCATGGCTATCTAAATAACTTCCTAGCAAACTTGTCTTACTCCACTCTAGCTGTCATAGACTAAAGTACCACAGACTGGTGGCTCCTACAACAATTCCTTCTCACAGTTCAGAGGCCGCCAAATCCACAATCTGGGTGCCTAAGATTACTCTGTCCAAGGACAGGCTTATTAATAAGACAGTGATTCTCCTCTCTATGGTTTCTGAGTAGCTAGGACCACAGCTGTCTACCACTTCACCTAGCTGGCTGACTGAGATGAGCTGTACTTAAACCTTAATACATCTCCTGACTATGTGGGATGATGGGAATAGACCATTATGCCTAGGATATTTACTATAAATTTTACTTTGCTTGCTAGGCAGGCATTCTACCACTACATGAGCCTCCTCCTTAGCACTGGAGTCTTCTTATAAAGGCTTCAAGACCTAAAACACCTTCTAAAAGCCTTGCATCTTAACCCTTTTTGCTTATGTGGTGCTGAGGAATCGAACCCAGGGCCTCAGGCATGCAAGGCACTACCACTGAGCCAACTTCCCAGCCCAAGTTGTGACTCTTATCTCCAATTAACCACCAGAAAATCAGAAGTAGAGCTGTGGCTCAAATTGTTAGAGTACTAGCCTTGAGTAAAAGAGCTCAAGGAAAGTGCTCAGGCCCTAAGTTCAAGCCCAGGACAACAAAAACTCCATCCCCAATTACTCATCAAAGATTTGGGCTTGGAGGCGTGGCTCTGCCAGCAGAGCCAGCAAGTGTGAAGCCCTGAATTCAACCCCAGTACTGTCAGGGAAAGAGAAAGGGGGAGGAAAAAAAGAGGAAGAGGAAAAGGGGGAGAGGAGAAAGAGTGACAGGGAGAGGAAGAGAAAGACATGAGGAGTGGGGGAAGGATATCTCAGGGCTCAGACTCATGGCAGAAAGAAATACCAGGCTGGGGGAATACTTCTTGTCCCTATTTCTTGGTGGATAGTAGTCATGTGCTAAAGAAATAACAAGCAGAAGACCTACCTAGAGTTAGGAATGTAGAAAGAAACCTAGGTTGTTGGAGAGAACACAGACAACAATGGCACATAGACTTCACTTATAATCAGAGAGACATGATAGAGCATCTAACCAAAAGCAATTCGAATGCTGAAAGAATGCAGGTAGCTGCAAATGACACCCAAGAGGTATGTCCACAGAAAGAGACAACTGCTCCTCGGAACAAAATTTTAGTCAGTGATACTCCGAGTCAAAGTGGTACACAGTAACTACAGCAGGTCCTAAGAAAAGACAAGGAATGTAGGGTTTGCCTTTTATCATCATATATTTGTAAATAATGCCAGTGACTTGATCTAAGTTTGAAATAATTGCTGTGACTATATATTCTCATAATATACATAGTTAATTTGCAAAACAATTCCAGATGAGTTAAAAATAACAGAATTGTGAAGACCAATAGAGAAATGACAAAAGATAGAGCTT